TTGTCGTCATTACCAAATCAGACACAAAGTGTAAGAATAATTATCTGTTCAAGATTATAGAAGGGGCTAGTTAATTGTATACTGCAAGAAGATAGTCCCTACACAGGAACAGTGTGCTGGTGTTTTCCTCTTTGACCTGTTGCCTGGGCTTGAAGGCCAGACTTGAACTTTACGGGTAAGTGAGGAGGAACCTACTTTGGTCCACGCTAACTCTTGGAATTTTCAGTCTCTATAGTGAATGAGATCACTGGATCAAATGGTATTTCTATTTTTAGCTCTTTGAGGTATCTCCAAATCACTTTCCACAGGGATTGTACTAATTTGCAGTCCCATCAGCAGTGTAAGAGTGTTCCAATCTCTCCACATCCGCACCAGCAGTTGTGGTTTGGGGACTTTTTGACAAGGACCATTCTCACTGGAGTTAGGTGATATCTCATTGTAGTTTTGATTTGCATTTCCCTAGTGATTAGAGATGTTGAGTACTTTTTTATATGTTTGCTGGCCATTATTCTGTCTTCTTTTGAAAAGTTTCTGTTCATGTCCTTTGCCCATTTATTGAAGGGGTTGTTTGATTTTTTTCTCATTGATTTTCTTAAGTTCTATATAGATTCTTGTTATCAGCCCTGTATTGGATGAAAAGCAGGAACTCTATTTATTAGTCCTCTTGATACACCTCCTAATTTCTATGTTCAGTTACTCCTCAGCCTTTAAACAGCAACTATCCCTGTGTATCACACAGGTCATGCTATACCTAGGAGTAGCATAATGGATGTGCCCTAGGTCCTCAGATAATCCTTTGTTTACCTACTGACTTTCCCACATCGCCTCTTTTTTTCCATTTGAAAATATACATCACAAGCCAAACTTCAGAGTGCTGTTGTAATTATATTTATTACACTAAGTTAGTAGATGTATATTTAGTATAATGTCTGGCTCAGAAAATAATAAGTGTAAGCTTATACGAATGTGACATACAGGTAAGTGCAGCACGACTTAATTCTTCTCTAACAATCTTCCCAGCCCCATGAACTTTTGCACTTTGGCTAGCCAAGAGGGCTTCAGAAACTTGTTTGTTTTCTTCCCACCACCTGCCACCAAAATAGCAGACAAAATTGAGAAGGTTTTCTGAAACCAAACCCAAACATTCAATGATCCAGTCAATGGGCAATTGACCTTGGGTAAGTTATTTGAAACAATTTTAGCAAGAAATCAGATTTTGCTTTGATTTTATTGCTTGTCACCTTTAAAAATATCAAATATATTTTATTTGAGGAATAACAACAAAATTGTTTACACAAGCAAGGGAAACTTGGAAATACACTTGCTTAACTATGCTGCTAAGCAAAAACAAAATGAATTTAAGCACGAATACTCTTCTTTTGAATATGTTTTTGGAGATAGGTAGAAAAATATCACTTTTTCTATTCGATTTTTTCTTTAGTTTTTGTTGTAAAAGTGTAAAATGTAAATGAATTCACTGCTAACCATAATTTCCAAATCGATGCCATCTGTGTACACATACATACCCACTGATAATACTGGAAGAGTTGCTGCATCACAGTTACATTTAAGCTCTTGCTAGATAGCATGGAAGAGAGGTTATTTAGAGTAAATGTTGCATACAATTTAGGGCAAATCACTGGTATTCCTTTAAAGAACAGGTTACAATAGAAACACTTCTTGGAAATTGTTCATCCCATTTTCGTATGTTTTAGGTTTTATTTGTGATATACATAGTTAAAATATTTAGTTATTTATTTAAATTCTATCACAAAGCCGCAAACGCAAAATAACTA